CTTTTACTTTACATTTGTCAGTAATTCTACCAACTTTATTACAATCGCCCCTCTCCTTCTCCTTCTCCCTCTCCCTTTTCCTTTTTTGTTTTTAACAGTGACCATCTCCCACCAAGGCAGGTGACCCAAAAAGAAACGCCTTCACTATTACTTACTGCATCACTGTCTTGCCAGAGGGGCACTAGTACTGCAGTTCAAAATGGCAAATATCTCTACCCCTTTTCAGAGTGCAGGCATTGTACTTCCTACCTCCAGGACTTCTGTCCAGGAAACAGGTTTCCCCTAAATCCTTCATAAAAGTTACCTTGCTCGCACTACAACAGCACATCAAGTTATAATACCCACTTGCCTCCACTCACTCCTAACACACGAAACCTCCTTTACCCCCCTCCCTCCAACCTTTTCTAGGATGATCCCTACCCCACCTTCTCTCCACTGCAGATTTGTATTATTATTTTTATTTACAGGTAATTTTTAAACATCAGCCAATACCACATCAAAAATTCCTGTGTAAGGCCTCCTTTTACTGGAAATTAGTATCCTCTCTCCTAAATACCCTAACTTGAGCCTCCCTCTTTGCATAAAACAATTGATGCTTTCAGTAGTTTTTTTTTTTTAAATGCACCAACCATCTCTCACTTACGTCTTGCCAGAGGCATTCTGACTTCACGTTCAGATGCCCCTCCACACTGCATCATCCTCCCTTCCTTCAGAGTGCAGGCACTGTACTTCCCATCTCCAGCAAACTGGTTTCCCTAAATCCTTCATAAAAATTACATTGCTTGCACTCCAATAGCATGTCGTCATGAAAACTATTGCCTTCACTTGTATTACCTATTATTATTATTATTGTTGTTGTTGTTGTTGTTATTATTTCAACAAACCTGCCAATTCTCACTGAGGCAGGGTGGCCCAAAAAAGAAAAACAAAAGTTACTGATTATTATTATTATTGGAAGCACTCATTAAGCTCATAGGGGTCATACATGCTTGGGGAATGAAGAATGGAAGGTAATCAGGTTTGATTCTCCCTTTAAGAGTTATATAGTGTAGATCAGTTTCCTATGTACGACGAAGGCAAATTTGTTATCCTGATGAGTGTTTTGTTTACATGAAGGTGTTGGTCCTTAATTTTGTTATGCAGTATATAGTAAATATACCAGCTTTATATATCTGTTAAGTCTCTCTTTTTAAAACAGTTGAGGTGGAAAATATGAGATGATAAGATTCTTTTACAAGTTTAAAATTAAAGAGATTTCTTTATCACCTGTACAAACATCACTGAGATTTAGTAGAAATAATGAAACATCTGATAGCAGACAAATCCTTTCAAATCCCATGGCCGGGCTCCGAGAGTAGTGAAACTCGAAACTCTTCAAAGGTGAGACAGCTAAACCCAGCTGCAATCTGTAGACTTTCTTGTTTCATACTGTTAACAAAGCTATTATGGGTATGTTCATTTTATGCATGTGTTTGGTGAGCTCGTGTTTTGTAGAGATTGGTCAAGAGCTGTTAATTATATAATTTGATTTTGCTAAGCTGAATATATTATGTATTACTTTTCCATGTTTATTACTAAATGCATTGATAGTTTATATATGTTCATGTTCTGCTTGTGTGTAGAGTTCTTGTGGGTGGATTGCCTAAGAGCCTGGGGAGGAGGAGACTCCATTGCCCCATGTGGATTGCTGTTGCAATCTTTACTAAGCAGATGTGAGTTCAGCACACATGCCTGACATGAGCATATACAAAATATCATTGTATTTGGAGAAGAGGTAACAGAATTTTTTACGTAATTCAGCTTCAATAAAGTTGTGATTACTGTACTAAATATACATTTATTTAAGAATATCTTTCAAACAAACATCAGCCCTCCACAAATAATAAAATGAACATATATAAAATATGAATACATTTAATGAAAAAATACAGAAAAAATGATGGCAGTTTATTTTTTAAACATTTGCAAGATTTGTATTTGCAAGTCAGCATTTGAAACACATTAATTGGTTCATAAGTTCAGATGTTTATAACTCAGCTGTTGTAAGTCAGGGTTTCTATTTTATACCAAAAGAATGTATAATAAATTTTATACTTCAAACTGCATTAGATCAGTCAGGGTGAGATGACTGTGTAGGCCAGTGGCAGCAACAGCGGTTGAAAAATTATTACCTAGTTGCAGGGGTGTATCTACTGAAAATAGCACCAATGTCAAGCACTGAAATTGCTCCCCTGTCCAAACATCTGACACTCTTATAGATAACTTTACCATAAAATCAGCTCAAAAATACAAGTCAGGCTCATTAACAAAATTCTAGACTACCTCCTAGTTTGCACAGGAGAATGGTCTTACTGCCAGTTGGTACTGTGAAGTATGTGGTCATGTTGCTCTCAGCACTGTATTTTTACCTAATAATCTATATAAGTAGTTTAACAATCTAGTAATACTAGTGCTTCTCACTCATGATAATCAGAGATAGATCATACAACTGAAGAAAACTATCCAAAGATGGCTTGTCCGACTCTAATGGAAACTTCTCAGTGCCGCCCCCCTTCAGGTGGCACCCAGGGCATGTGCCATACCTGCCATACCTTAGGTACACTACTACCTGGTTGTGCAGCTACTTTTTTCACCACCACCACCACCACCACCATTGTTGGAGAGTTGTTATTAAACTGATCATTTTTAGATGATGGGTTCAACACTTAGGTAATGCTAGAATGTTAAAATATGATCTTAAATTGATGAAGATATTATAGTGAGTGCTCTCTTGAGCTAGCCACTGCCCACTGAATGCTTTTGTATGAGCACTGCAGTATGGTAATGGTAAAAAAATTATATGCAAGCAGAGCGCAGTCTCATGTAGAGTACAGTGAATTTTCTCTCATTGAGAAATATGCATATACGTACCTGGATGTCTGAATTTTTAATTAAAAAAAAAAAACAGTAATACTTTTCTGTTTGGACAAAAATGAAGAAAAGATTATCCAGAATAAT